ATTTTAAAATTGGTCCTCGGGGAACAGTGATGTACAGACAGTTTTGACTACTAAAGTAGAGACATCAAGAAATCCCAGCTGATCAAGATGATTATGAAGAGAAATTGAAGCAAAATTGTCACATCTGTGTTTATGTTTATATCACACAACACTTGTAGTTATAAATCAGGATCAAATGTTAAAATGTCATGGATGTGAAGTCTTACACAGATAACAATAAGTGGACTCACCGATAAGTCACAGATAAGAAACTTGTTCATGAGGTCTTTTTCTTTTATTTATTTATTCATTCATTTTACATCCAGGTCGTAGGCCCCTCTCTCATCTCTTCCCAGTCCCACCCTTCCTCCCTGTGTCTCCTCTTCCCTCCCCTTCTTGGGGAAGGGGAACCCCCTGCCCTCCCCAGCATAATCAAGTTGCATCAGGACTAAGCAATTCTCTTCCTTTATAGCCTAGAGATGTAGCCCAACCAGGCAAAAGTGATTGAAAAGCAGGCAACAGAGTCTTAACTTCTCTCTCTCTGTGTCATCATGTAAACAATCTATGTAAGTATATCTGAAGAATTAAATGCATATCTAGTGTTTAAAATATTCATATGTCTTCCTAAACATCAAATGATTTCTAACAAATAAGAGCCATGAACATTTCTTAGGAAACTCTTACCTGAGTTAATGACTCTTCAGTGAAGGAAACTTGAAATTGAAACTTAGACAATGATTTCTAGATCTCTGTTGTGCTTATTTGTATTATAAATAAAGGTGCATCTTATGAATTAGAACACATTGTTGAGTATTTGAGATATGACTGACCTTTAAAATTCTTTTTTTTTTTTACTTCTCTTTCTTTAGTCCCATTCATTAATTCTGAGCCAGAGTATACTGCACAATCTCTATGTTCAAATGAGATGGGCTGAAACGATTCAAAAAATAGTTGTCAATAGCGCAATGAGTAGGGAGTCAATAAAGGCTCTGCACTTGGTAATTTTTATGTGTGCCCATGAGAAATCTACGGGAACTCACTGATTTTTTTCCTATTTAAGGGGGGAAGCACGTTCTTCGTCACTAGGGAAGAAATAGATCCAGTCTCTAATCTTCTTCTCTTATCCGGCTTGAAATAGAAGTAGCAGCTATAATAGAGGGTTTCTGCATGACAGAGTCTCTACCCTAGGTTTTCTGAGAGAACCTCTCATGTTAGACAAGTCACACTCCAAATACAGACAGATAAACAAACACATAAACATGCGTATCCACACACACAAACACACACACACAAATAAACACACACCCACATTCACATATATACTGTAGAAAATGTGTTAAAATCTACAGGGCTCTTCTAACCTGGTAGTTTGCAAATAACTGTCAGTGACCTATTGATTTATTTAACAAGCTTAAGCACAATAACTAGGCAGGTAGGATTTATAACTAATTTTCTAAGCTAGTCTGGCTATTTCCCAGCCACGCACCCCAAGTTACTTGGCAATATCCATCCTGTCTGGCCTGGATCTGCTCCATCAGGCCATGTCCTTTCTCTCTATCTTCCTTCCTTCTTCTTTCTCTCCCACTTAGGGGTCCCTACCTGAGACCCAAAGCCCAGGAACTGAAGCCCCACCTCCCTTCCTCTCTTCTGTCCAGTTACAAGCTGTCCAGCCTTTTTTTTTTAATTAACCAATCAGAGATAATTGGGGAACAAAGTTTACTGAACATTGTTCGGTATATATGAGAATGTCCCTCTTCTGGACTGTAGCCAGATCTTAGGGCCCAGAATTTAGTGTATGAATGCGCACAGAGCACCAGACCAACCCCCAACACATATACACATAAACAAACCACCACACATATAGTCATACAACTCATACCACAAACAGACACAATCACACACTGACACTCACAAACTCACACATAAACACTTATGTATCCATATAAACACATACACACATGCACAAATGGAAACACACACACACACACTTACATACACACAAACACACATATCTATACAAATATAGACACACACACAAGCACACCCATGCACACAAGCACCACCCGTACACACACTCTTTTTTGCAGTTTTTATAGTTCTTAATGTTCTTATTGGAACCTTACTAAAACCTAAGTAATTTATTTTGTTGAAGAACTAATCAAGATGGAAAATTAGAGATTTCAATAAAAAAAAACTGATCTTATGATACAGTGTATCAGTTTATGGAAATTCCCTTTTCTTTTCATTATCTGAGGTCTAATGAAATATAACAATAAATATTTTATTTATTTATGTTGCTAATATTTTATACCATTTGAAAGTATATCAGGCTATTCTGAATTTTACTCGCATATTAATTAAAACAGTAAGGGACATTTTCTACATGCTAATGTTAACAGATTTTACATTATGAAATGTGTGTTATTAGTTTTGTAATGGGAAGAATCAAAATGACATTAAAACAAAAATATTTGCTGGACCAGCTTGGGCCATTTATCTTTCTTAGAAATGAAAATGATGATAAACTACAATTTTAAAGATGATTAATTTCAAAAGAAAATTTGTCTTAGATGATAACACTCATAATGCTTTTATTTGGATTTTTTTTTTATGCCACCAATGTTGAAGCTGGAGCTGAGTTTAGTGAATTATTATCCCTAGATAGTATCTCCATTAGGTATATTCCTAAACACGTGAGTGTACGTTTATGCTTTGCTGCACAGATACTCACTATTTTAAGAAAAATCTTTAATGCATACTTTTTCCCCTCACAAACCATATAGCACCTGAGCAGCCTATTTTTGTTCCCCACATCTACAGAGGCTGAAACACCATGGTGAAGCCATCATTGGGTCCAGTGTTGGGCACAGGCTATCTTCCTTCTGTGGGCTCAGTCCAGATAGTGCTTTCTGTCTGTGTCTTCCCATAGATGAAAGGCAAAGAAACTCTCCAGGCTCCCTGGGCACTGATGTCCTTCCTGAGTATAAAGTTGTCATGACTTAAGATTTTCCAGAGCGATCCTACAAATATTGCATCTGTATCATCACCCTGGTCAATCAGATTTCTATACCTCACATTGGGGACTCATAACATGCAGTCCATCACAGAAAGGAGCACAGAACATAAGGGGGTAATCTTTAAAAGAATCAGGACTCTGCCAAACATTGGGCAGAGCTCATAGAATCTTTTGAAAGGGGGCAGGGGAGGGAAGGACCCGGAACTCCACAAGAAAACCAGCAGAGTCAACTAACCTAAGCACATGGAGACTCCCAGAGACTGAACCATAAACCAAAGAACATGCATGGTATGGACATAGGCCCTTCATACATATGTAACCGATGGTCAACTTGATCTTCATGTATGTCCTTTAGCAAGTGGAGCAGGAGCTGTCACTAACAAGGGGTCTGTTGTCTGTTTTTGGATCACTTCTCCCTAGTTGGGCTGCCTTGTCTGGCTTCAGTTGGAGAGGATGCTGATGTGACTTGATGTGCTGAGGTGGTTGATAAAGGAGTGCAGGGTGGGGGTGGGCGTGGGGGTTGCATCCCTTTTCTGAGAAGAAGGGGAGGGGGAAAGGGGCTATAAGGTAAGAGGATGGGACCCTGAGGAGAGGAGAGAAGGGTCTGCCTTCAGGGTGTAAAGTGAATAAATAAATAAACTTATCAAAAAAAGAATTGGGGCTGCTGTGAGACCTTGGAACTTTGAGAGGGAACCGAAGTTGTGTGGATTAAACAGAAGGCACAGCGGGAGATGGCTTTCTCTGCTGTTCTAAGCAGGATTGTTGTTCTGAGCACCAGAACTTTTCAGCATCACATAAACTCGTACATCCACACTTCATAATGAAACTGTGGTGTTATTTGACATTCTGTCTCTCCTGCATCTTCCACATTTCCTAAAAGTACATTAGAAAGTCTGGGTGTTTGGGAATCATTTATGATATTGGTTGTTTGGAGAGGTTGGTTGTTGACATGCAGGGTTTGGGTTATAATGAGTTATGTTTATGTTTCACTATGATGATGGTGTTTGGAGAAGAAAAGGGAAGTCTGCTATATAGTGTGAAGATTCATGTAGAGTCACTACTGATGTGTAGTAAGTAATAAGCTCAGGTGAATGTATCACCTCGCTCTGTTTCTCGGGGTGCTGTAATTCAAAATCTCTACCTATAGCATGAAAATCAAGATACAAAGAAATGCAAAGGAAGGACGAATATCAAACACTTTAGGCAATTGAGGGATACTGTGCTCTGTAACACAGACTCTTAACTGACATTTATTTCCTAGTAAACAAGATAAGGGCAGTACAGGGAATAAAACATGTAAGCAAACATTCTAGCTAAAGACGATTTTTGAGTTCTAATTACAGTGGAAACTCAGGCAGGCAAAAGATTGTGCAATAGTTTACTTTTTACCCAGGGGTGACTTTCCTAAGTTGAAACCCAAGGCAGCTTCTCTAAAGGATTTTTGACCTGGCCCTACCACTTGTGAGTGTGTTCACATTTCATCAAAAATCTAATATCTGATACTATTTTAAAGGTTTATGTAGTGAATTTTAGTCTTGTTCACGCTATAGCCCTGTTCCTTATGCCCCATCCCTTTCCTGCTGGAATACTTCTCAACAAGATCCCTCCTAACTCAACATCTTTTTGTGTGCTACCCACACACTTAGATTGTCTTGCTCAAGCATGGACAGGACATTACAGTCCTGAAGAAAATGAATCTTCCCTCCTCAACAACTGTTAATCTCCAGTAGTTCCCATGGGTGGGGTTTGAACTTACAGCCCCTCCCTCAGCTATGATGGAAAGTCTGTTGGCACAGTCTTGTGCACATAACCAAAGCTGCCCTAAGTTCATTAGTTCAACGGTTATTCCCAGAAGACAACTTTTTTGCTGCATACCTCTCTAACATTGGCTCTTAACTAAAGTTTTACTTGATGAAATTCAAAAATTTATACTTCTTCTGAGTATACTTCTTCTTCTTCTGAGAAAGGAAAAGATAACAACGAATAGGTTTAAAAATAACTACCATACTCCTAGCAATGGACAAAGAGACAGCTTGTTGGTGGTGGTGTTCTGTTATCAGTCAGGGGCAGAGCAGATGGCGGTCCTCTGTTCATCCTAGCTTGATGCCTGGCATGGTGACCAAAGCTGTCTAATGCCTAGGACTCATAAAAAAATCAAACCAATTTCAATCAAACAGGCAGGAGGAAGAAGACAGACAGACACCTCTATACTCCATGAAACATAGATGGTGTCACATAAGGGCCCGCCAGCCGTGCGGCCAGCCTGCAGTGGCAGCCACCACAGTGTGTAAGTATGTGTATGTCATGGTCAGATGTGTGAGAAAGAGAAGTGGAGCAGCCTGAGCATTATGGAGAGAGATGGAGCTGGGATGGAGAGGAGTAGCCTGTTGTAGGTGTCCATAGTGAGGTCACAGCCCGAGCTGCTGTGGAGGGCCGGGCCCGTGTCCATGGCTCATAATACCACTAGAGAACATGAAGCTGTCCATGGTCAAGGCATCCTTCAGGGACTACATGGATGTCCACTGGCTGTGCATAACTGACCCTGGTTTGTCCCTCACTAAATGTGGAGAGCTGGCCCTATCTTCCACTTGTGGCAGCACTCCCAAGAGTAAGCCTTAAACCTCCCTCAGGCAGCACAGAGGAGCTGACCCTGGTGGCAGGGTTGTGGGTGAACAGGTCCCAAGGGCAAGAGTGTTGGGAGAGCTGACCCTGCCACTTGTCTGCCATAGGGTTGCACAGACACAAAGGTGAACCTTCAGCAGTTGGGAAAGCTGCCCACAGGGTCATGAGCTCAGGAGAGCTAGCCCTGCCCCTCACCAGCTGCAGCACTCAGGAAAGCAAGCCATACACGTCACCTGGACAGCACAGCAGTGCTGACGTTGGTGGTGGGGCACAGGTGAGACAGCCCTGAGAAGGATAGAACTGGAGATCCAGCCCTGCCCTTTACAGGCTGCAGCACTTGGGAGAATGGGACTTGCATCTTAACTGGGCAGCACAGTGGAAGTTCGGGTGCTTCCCAGGCCGGAGGGCATGAGAACAGGGATGCTGACCCTGCCTCCTGCCAATGGCAGCATGGGTGGCCTAGCCTGAGCAGGGAGGGATAAAGGAGAGCAGGTGGGCTGACCATCTTAGCAACCACCTAGGCCCCGATCCAGAGCTCTGAACTGGCCCACCTCAAAACAAATGGTTGGGACATGTGAAACGGCAAGTCCCACTGTCCTAAAGCTGCAGGATCTCCATGAACTATAACAGGATAACTGGGAGGAGTCTCTATCAGAACACAAGATTGATGGTGTCACAGAAGCCAGAGATCTTGAACCAGACCAATGATTCATTGCAATGAACATTTGCCAGTGAAGCTGTATGGACAGAGGGATATACTGTGGGACACACTGTGACATACTACAGCTTTCACAATGAAGTATTTTCTACCCTTGTTGTTGTTGTGTGAGTGTGTGTGCACGTGTCTGCACATGCTTGTGTTTTATTTTGGCTGAGAGTTTGCAAGGGAAAGAGGCAGATATAAGGGAATGGGGAAGTGAGCGGGACTGGGGTTCATAAAGTGAAACTCACAAAGAATCAATAAAAAAGTTTTTTTTTAAAGCTACAGTTGTCTAAGAGAAACTCACATTTTCACATGTGCTGCAGGTTAATGGTGAGAAACACAAAAGTCTAGTTCTTTAGTCAAATCCCAATCAATCTGGTGTAAAATAGTTTAGATTTTTCATTGCCAGACTTTTTTTTTTTAATTTCTATAGAAAGCCATAAATTTTGTGGAAGTATTCAGTGGTGATTTGTTTTTAATTAGATAATAATAACCTAAGTTAACATTTTGCATGATTTACAAAGTAAGCCAAATGACTTGAGAAGATGAAGGAAAGAGCGATGGTTTGGAAATAACAGTTTTCATGTACTTCCAGTGAAATATTGTCTCGTTAAAATTTTTGTTGAATGGCTGCAAAGCAGCAGCTCATATTAAAGGATTAAAGTCGGATTCAGAGAGCTGTGATTTTTTTTTAACAGGACCTCCTCATTGCACTCTAATGTTCAACTAAATCTCTAAAATATGCTTTTGAAATGCTTTTCATGGTCTTCAAATTTTATGATAATTTCATTTTAATCATCTTTCTTGCTCATTAATGATTTCAAATTCTTTATGGTACTTAACAGCCCTTTTTAAAATTTTTGGCTAACTGGAATGACTTTGAAAATATTGTATTTTTCTAACTAGTATGCATTACAGTGAGGGAGAGTATGGTCATTATGGCATCGTAAAAGCTGGAAATTAAATGGTCTAATAGGTTTATTTTTCACCTAGCTTGGAATGAGAAAGCTCTTTAAAGATAGCTTGATACCTAATGTAACTGGAAATATAAACTTTTCATGATGGTAACATAAAGTTTTTCTAACAAGGACAATTCAAAATGTTTTGTTACATAGATGCATGTGTACACAACTCACATAATTTATAAACAAACTGCATTATCAATTATTGTTCATTTCATCTCACTGTGATTTTGTAATGAAGCTTAACATGTAGGTAATGACGACAAATAAAAGAATATCGTGTTTTAGAAGACGGACCAGCACTCTCTGCTCTGCTAAGAAAACCACTACAGTGAACATGACACTGGTCCACAAGCCAAGACAGCGTAACTCCTCTGCTAACTCAGGCTTTGTGTGCATTCTTGACATCTACTTTTTTTTTTCTCTCTCAAATAATGGGGATAATGTGGCAATTGCTTGTGGTATTTGTTTTGCTTTGGATTGTTACTTGTCTCTTTAAGAGTAAAGGATGGAGAACTTTGAAACTGGACATCATACAGCATGCAAGCCCTTGAATTCACTAGTTGTAGAAGTTAATGGCAGTCCTGGGTGAACTTCTACTATGAAGACCACATTCTGTTCAGGCAGGACACTGATGATAAACCAAAGAAACCAATTCAGCCAAGCCTTCGGTTGTGAGTGTAATTACTTACAACCATGTGGGCAACTTACCAGCGACTATAGCACAGAATGAATATTTTTCTTAATATCCTCAGTCAAAGTGGTGGTTTCATGAAGCCTCCTTACCTAACTTTGGAACTTCAGTGGGCTCGGTGCTGTGCAGGCTGCCTTTCAGCGCTCACGACTGCTGAGAAGACCACACAGCAGCAACCATGCCTGGAGGAGATCATTCCACAGGAATTTCAAAGACCAGTGGACTTTCTGGGTATTGTGGGACTATGTCTGTATAGTTTATAGCAAACTATACCTAATTATCTATGTATAGTTTATAGCAAGCTATACGTGATTATCTATGAAGATGTTGAAGAACAGCTTCCAACATATCTGGTAATGAGCAAAAATATAAGTTTTATAAGCATCACTACAGAGCATCGTTATTAGTAGTTAAGTTTTAGTGGTAATTTAAAAATATAAATTATTTTTTTTTATAATTGGAACTTTTTGAGAGCGTTTGTACATGAAGCTTTGGTATCAATTGCCAGCATCCTATAAAACTGGGCTTGGTGGTTGTTGCCTGTAATCCCCGTAACTTTGGAGGTGAAAATAGGAAGACATATCCTTGATCATTCTGAGATGCCTAGTGAGTTGGAACCCATCCAGTGCTACATGAGACCCTGTATCAAAAGACAAACAATAATAACTTTAATTCTCATTTCATATATATTTATAATACCTGCAGACTACAAATGCCATAGTTATAGTGACATAAGTTTTATGTGGTTATGTGTATGTTTTTATAAACACATCATGTATAATATATTATATACTAATATTAATATATTACATATTATATATTAATGTTAATATATATATTTATGTGTACTATATATCACTGTAAATATCCCTGTATAAAATTTGTTCAGTATTATGTCTCAAACCCAGATTTTTCTCTATTCTAGGCTAGCACTAGAATGAGGCACAACTCCAGGCTCCATTTGCATTTGATTCTTGCTATATATTCTTAGCTGTTAATGTGGTAGTTGACATTGACTAATAGGGGTTTGACTCCAAGTTTTCCCTCACTTTTTCTCCTGAGCTTTGGTTTTGTAAATACAAATCTTTGCTACATCATTAATTTCAGAGGTAGAAGTGTAAAAAGGGGAAGAGTCCAACTTGGATAGATCATTAAATAATTCATTTTTCTCTCTAAGAAGTTTCTGAAAATATTGAAGTTAACTTGAATTTGGTTATTACTTTCTCCAACTAATCTTGATATTGGAGTGTTTGCTGCATGAGAAATGTACAAATACCACACTTCCAACTCAAATCAGACCAACTAGAAAATAATGAAGACTACTTTTGAAATATGCATTACTCAAATACTAGAGTCATATTTGATAATATCCAGTAACATAAATCAAACATATAAAGTTGACTAAACTTTGTTTATAATTAGGTCTATAATTTCATTTGTATACTTAATTTATTTCATTTTTTCAGTAATGATTATACTACTCTAACAGAAAATTAAAAACTATTTCAAAAACTGTTTATTTGAGGAATCAATTTTAATTTCAAACATAGAGTTAAAGTTTGCTGGTGAATAAATGAAGTGAAATACTGTTATATAATGATTAGTAAGGATTTTAAGTCTTGTTGAAAAAAGTAAAAAATGCAACTGTTCTGCTGAAATCACACAGCTAATTACAGCATTGCCCTGTCAACTATATTTTTTCATAAAAAGCCCTGATTAACTGGAAATGTTTCTGTTCCATAGAGTCTATAGTTTCCAAAGTTTTATATTTTCTAAAACTTTCTTTTGAGCCTCATAATAGAGAATCATTGTTTGCAATCGCTTGCTGTTAGATTATCTCTTTGTTAGTGTCTAGAGAGAAAACATAGTGTATATACTAGCAAAAGTCAGTGAATGCCAGAGTATCTCATCTCATAGGTATGCTCTTTCAAAAGCAGCTTCCAGTGACAAATGTAAATAAAAACAGGCAAATTGCAAAGAACACCAAACTTCTATCAATGTTAAGGTCAGAATATCACCTTACAAATCATCCTTGCTCTCAGTTTTCAGTTGAGAAAACTCATTTTTACTCATGATTCACCAGACCATCATGTGTATCATGTGACTCTAATTTTGTAGTTCCTATAACTTACCCTGCCTGACTTATACAGGCTAGGGAGTATTTTTTT